AGAGAGAGAGAGAGAGAGAGAGAGAGATGTGCATTTATATCTGAAGGCAACTTCCTATTCCATATGCATTTTCTCTGCCTCTCTCTTCCCAGCATATACATTTTTGTACATCACTTCCTTTCACATAACATTTTGTTTGCAGCCCTCTCAAAAGCATTCACTCTTTAGAAAACAGACGACAGCAGAGCAGAACCAGAGAGCTCCATACTCCATTGCTCAGGAAATGGGATGAAGCCAATTGGCTTAAAACTGCAGACAAAATGGAAAGTTCCCCCCGGGAGGTCCTCGAGGTCCATCTGCTCGAGGGGAACTGTCAGAAAGTCCACAAGGAGGAGGAGGAGGAGGAGGAGGAGGAGGAGGAGTAATACCGGAATCCAGCCTGCAGGAGCTCCTGCCCCTGAAAAGGGGGGGAGCCTGGCGGGGCCACGGAGTGCTGGAAGTGCAGGCGCTCTCAGCGCATCGGGACTCCTGGCTGGCCTCAGAGATGAGCCAGAGCTGCAGATTCTGCCGCAGGGACTCCCGGCATAGATGGAAGGCGATACGGTCCTCCCACTCACCAGCCTGTCACAACCAGATCGCCCAACATTATGCATATTCATTCCCTCTTTCAGATGGTGCCACAATTAGTATCAGGCCACACGCTAGCCTGGATATACAGTATGCGTGCAGGCTGGCTAAGGAGACTTTCTGCGCTCCCGTTGTGTGAACGTTTGATCCGTTGATTGCTCAGGATACGATGGAAACCCAGAAATTGGGCTGTTTTGGGAAACGGGTTCAGGGCGTTGTCTGGAGCCCGCTGAACCTGCGGCTCTTGGTGCTTATGGTTCCTGCTCTTGTAAGAATCAGGACAGGGAGAACGTTTTTAACAGCCTGCCCAATTCTTTGGGGTTTGGGTTTCTTTAAAAAAAGAAAAGCCAAGCATTAAGCTTAAGTAACTTTCATCGTATAAAGACCGCGACAGGCTCTGAGGCAGCAGATTCAGATCCAGGCTGCTCCCATCAACAGGAGCTCTCTGGGTGTGCCTGTACCACCAGGGAGGGGCTGTGGCGCAGGACAGGTTCTTCCTGAGAATGAGTCTTGAACAGCTGGGAGGTTTTGGGGTGACGCCCAGCACAGCGAGGCTCCTGCCGAGGCAGAGAAACCCTAACCCCGAGATGAATCAGGCTTGTGCAGGATCCCTTTTTCAAGAGTCCCCAGAGAAAAGGTGGGCTGGACCTTCTGGAAGCCATGAAGCGAGAAGTTCTCCAAGTCTCTCAAAGCATGCCTCTGTTCATGTACAGAGTGCGTGTCCTCCCTCTCGAGCAGCATCCCCATGATCTGGCACAGCTTGGATTCCAGAGCGGGGTCACAGAAGCTCTGGGGTGGGGAGTCCAGGGGCCCTGGGCTGGCCGGCCCTGTGCTCAGCTTCGGAGAAGAAGGGGGCTCTTGCCAGCACCTCCTTTGGCAACCCTGAGCGAGCCGGCCTGCCCAAGCTTCTCAGGGAGCCGGAGGGCATTGGCCTGAGGGACCAAGGTCCCCCATCAGGTCAGGAGCCCCCCAGCCAGGAACCAGAGAGGGTGGTGGGAGGGTGGAGCTCTCTCTTTCCTCCGGGACTCCCCAGCTCTTTCTGTTTTAAAACTCAGCACTGGAGCAAAGAAGGGAGTGAAGAGGGAGCTTCTGAGCAGATGCAGAATGCCTTTCTAGAACTTAGCCAGCCTGGGCTTCCTACTTTTTGGAAAGGCTGCTAATAGGAGGATCTAGACTGTGTTTCTCAACCTTGGGAACTTTAAGAGGGGTGTACCTCAACTCCCAGAATTCCCCAGCCAGCATGTTGAGGTCCACCCCTCTTAAAGTTCCCAGGGTTGAGAAACACAGTCTAGGCTGTTGTTTTGGTTCTCTCTTTGTTTTGACAATGAAGCGTAAAGCGAAGGGACAGGTGTGACCGAATTGCATCTGGGTGACGTTTGGACTTGAAGGCAATCCAAACTCCGCTGTAACTTTCTACGGCGGTACGTAGTGGATTCCTTCCCTGGGCAGGGGGTTGGCTTCATGATCTCCAAGGCGCCTTCCCTCGCTTATGTCCTAGAGTTGTACGTGTCACCCCTTCCGCTTGCTGAAACCGGTGCTTTTCTGTCCATCAGAATCCATGACGGGCGTTTGTGTGTCTGCGCGCCCATGGACCCTTTTCATTCGACGGAGCCGCTGGGTCAAATCCAACTGAAGATCTCGATCAGATCTTTGCAGATTCACCCGTAACCTCTTGCTAAGAGTCTGTTTCCCCCACAAAGCAGTCCCTTTCCAAGCCAATCAACTCAGTGCCTCCTGGACGATTTAGGAACAACTTTTCCTCTGGGCCATATTTATCCTGGTTCCTCCAGAAAAAAGAGGAGTGGTGGCGGGGGGGGGGGGAATGAAACATGGAAGCAGGGGATTTTGGCAATGCCTCGCGCTGGCTGATTTCAGCCACTGCCCTTCGGTTTGTTTGATTGGTTATTTATTCCCTCTTTAACCCACCCAACCACGTAGGTATTCTGAAAGATTTACAGAGCTATTCAAATAAGAAATAGTAAAGAGTGCACAGGCTATTCTCAAAATATCTGAAGAAAAAAAAAGAATGTAAACAACTCCCAGAATTCCCCAGCCAGCATACTTTAAGATGTGCGGACTTCGACTCCCAGAATTCCCCAGCCAACATGCTGCTGGCTGGGGAATTCTGGGAGTTGAAGTCCACACATCTTAAAGTTGCCAAGGTTGAAAAATATTGGGCTAATTGGATGGGGGCTCATGTGAACTCACCGCAAAGGGGTCTCTGCACTTATGGGGGCAAATTTTCTGCTCCCCCCTCCATAAGAGACGACAACAGTTGTGTTTTCTTCGTGATGCTCACCAACGTCAACCAAGCAGCACCAAAACTCTCGCCAAGCCCCAAAGTCCACCCGGGCGGAAAGAAATGAACTCCCCTGTTCAATTTTTTGGTTTGGTTCTTGCTTCCCAAACGAGCAAGCGGCATCAAATCTCAAATTCCCAGGCTCCCTTTCGCAGCTAACTTCATCAAAGCACGGCCTTTCCTCCCCCCCCCCGTTTTCGACTTGCGCACCCCACACCTGCTTTCTGCCCGACGCTCAGCCTGCCTGCTGCCGTCTCCACGAACGTGAAGCGGTTTGTCTCAGTGCTCTGCTGGAAAGGGGCAGCCAGCCAGGAGCATTTACCTTTTGGACTCACTCCACAGAGGCTTGCAGGCACAGGGAGCTCTTTACCACCACGTGCCCGTCCCTCTGGGGTGCGGGAAGGGCGCGAAGAATGGCAAGGAAGCCCTCTGCAGGCACCTTTTTTGGGCCATGGCCCACTGGATACAAAAGTCACCTTTTGCAAAGCAGAGGGAAGGGGTCCTCTGATGTTCACCCCAGGTGCAAAATCCTACCGTAGGGTTAACAAAGCACAATTCCAACCTTCCTATAATTAGCAAAGGCCAAATTGAAAAAAAAGTCCAAATTCAGTTATACAGAGATGTCCCGGTTCTCACGGCACTCTTAATCCCGATCTACACAACCCCGTTTTAACCGAGCTTAGTGCCCTGTGTGACTCCAGGGAATGCATCTTTGGAGCGGAAAGAAAGACCAAGGGCACCTGTTTGAAATTCACCACCACGTCAATTTGGCCTTTCATGTTGCCAGCGGCATCTTGTTTTCCAAAGTGCAGGCTGTTGTGATTCAGATGTAATAAATGCAAAGTGGGAAATTCAGATCTGACACCTAACTGTTGCTCTGCCTTCCAAACTTTGCGTTTTCAGATGTATTGGTGTTTCTGGAGAGTTCTCGATAGCTCAAGTTCTCAACTGTCAGTTACTAAATGCCATTGCATGTCAGCTAGCAAACCTTCGATACTGAAAAACCATTGCATGACAGCCTTCTAACACGCCTTCTAACACTGGACAAATATTGTGAAGAAGATAATTACAGTTTTTCAGTTGCGTAAGCCTTTGCCTGTGGAAGGCTCAGATTCACAGACACAAAATTTGCTTGTGGGCTGTATTTCTTCAGACCGGTTGTGTTTTC